GTGGCACCATATAGCATTTGTCCCTTTGTGACTGAGATACCTCACTCAGCATAATGTCCTCCAGGTTCACCCATTTTGAATAATATTGCATGAGTTCCTTGTTTTTCAATGCAGCATAGTATTTTTAAATAGTGCTTTGAAAAAATCTGACCTGCGCTATCGTCCTGGGGACTGCTGGTTTGTGGTTCCCTGGTTCTCTCATTTCCTTGTCACTCTCTCCTCTCCCACTGGCTAACAGAAAATGCTAGAGAGGCACAAGAAATGAGCATTTGACCTCCAGGCATTCTGATCAGTAAGACTTACCTTAATAGTTAAAGTTAGGGTATACCATTTTTTTTCTCTAACATCAGCATGTCCTAAATGATAGATGATCCATCCAACTGTAAAACAAAAAGATTATCCTGACTGCGACCTTTTTAAATAGAAGTAACAGAATCACAGAACTCAGAGGGAAGCTCTCAGGTGGCATCTGTCTGGAGTGAAGGCTGCCGTCCTGATGCTCAGGTCCCTTTACTGCCAGGCACTCAACCAGCTGGTATCAAGATTCTACTCTAACCCACACAAGAGGTGAGCCCACAGCAGAACTGGTGAGATAAACCCACAGACCGATCACAGTATGGTGTCTCGGAGCCCATAGTTCACATCTGTGTGCATTTAGATCTGACTGGAAGCACACAGAGGACAGGAAGGAGTGGTCCACATACACTGTGTGACTTTCCACTAATGTAACCTACCGTGAAGATACAGTGTCAACTGAGAATTAAGGGGAGAAAATGCTTTCTTTTGTTTTGGGGTTTTGGTTTTTTTTTTGTTTGTTTTTTTTTTTTACTTATTGCATTTGCATTCTTGTGTGAAAAACCAATAATGAAATAAAGTTTAAAAATCTAGAACACGGGGGCTCTAGAGGTACAGATTTACTATCTCAAATTTGTCACAAATTAGTCTTGGTACCTTGAATAGATCAATTAACCTTGACTCTGTTTTGATTTGGGAAGACGACTGTGGTACCTTTTTAACTCTGCCTCACTTACTTTGGGCATGTGGCCAGGAGAGATCAGCCCTTGGAGAAGGACATCATGCTCAGAAGGGTGGAGGGACAGTGCTGGAGAGGAACACCCCAGATGAGATGGATTGATACAGTGACTGGAGTTATGAGGGTTGATGTGTCTGAATTAGTGAGACTGGCTCAGGATAGGGCAGGGTTCAGAGCTGCTGCATCACAGGCGACTCAATGGCACATATAACAACAATAACATACTATGACAGGTTTGGAAGCAGGAGTGGCATCCACTCCCTAAACAACATGCCTCCAGAAATTCTATGAACTTTGATAAATGTCGATAGTTGTAGAGGGGCTTCAGGTCTTTTGTTCATAGGATCACTATGAGTCATGCTCGACTCAAAGATAATCAACAACAACAATTACATGCAATGTTTACTCTAGTGTCCTAACTATTCTCTCCATTTTTAATACACTGAAATTATTGTTTATGGAGCCTCTGCTGAACTCAGGAAGAGGCAATGAACAGCCAAGTGATAAAATTATTAGTGTGGGAGGAAATTCAACCAAGTGAGAACGAGAAAGAGTGGCCACCAGAAGGTCTGGTTTCCATGGAACTGTTGTTATGTGTCATCAAGTCGCCAGCAACTCACAGTGACTCTATTCACAAGGGTCCCAAACCTGCCTATCTGAACCAGTCACACTGTCCCTGATACACCATTACCCCAGTTACAATCCATCTCATCCAAGAGTAGTGTGGACCAAAATTCTACTTCGAGCACACATTTTAAGTTCCTAGTCTGGATAATCCATGTGCTACCTAAGATTTCTGGGTAAAGAACAAGAACCATGGCAACTGATTTACCTAAGACTAGGGCTGTTAAGAGAATCAATCTGTCTCTCTTTAATTCTTACAATTTCGCTTTTATTTATGGTGTTTCCTAATATGTTCTTCCCTAACGGCCACATTCCTAGTTAGTGTCGTGTGCCGTGGAGTCAGAGCGACTCACAGCTGACCCTCCAGTGGATTTTCAGAGGCAGTAAATTGCACGGGAGGAGAGTGCCCATCCTTCTCCCAGGGAGCAACTGCTGATTCAAACTGTGTGCCTTCGGGATTGCAGTGCAGCTTCTTACGGCTAGACCACCACCGTCCCTAAGTCTATGCAAACCCCACTCTCACAGCTTAGTTTAGCTCTATCATACCCTAAAAGGCTTGTAGTTTTTTCATAGCTATCATTGGAGACTTTATTAGCCCTTTCTCAACAATTGAAAGAACTAGGAGTTACAGTAAGGCCATAGAAACCAACACTGCCATCAGCCAAGAGGCTGGAACTCACTGTACAATTATTATTGCTGCTACTAAGATGCTCTTCTCCACACTAATGAAACAATATTATCATCAGTAGTGCTTGCTTTAAATGTACAGAATGCACTATTGATCAGAGGTCCATATGACCTGAGGTAGTGTTCTTATGTTAAACAATACTATCATTAGTACTACTTGCTTAACTTGTATGGAATGCACTATTAATCAGCTGCCCCTACGACCTGAGGTAGTGTTCTTATGTTAAACAATACTATCATTAGTACTACTTGCTTAACTTGTATGGAATGCACTATTAATCAGCTGCCCCTACGACCTGAGGTAGTATTCTTAAGTTGTTCCCAAAAGCTATAATCAGAGGCTCACAATTACAGATCAGAAAATAAATCCTCAAACTGGAGTGGCATCCACTTCCTACACAGCATGCCTCCGAAAACTCTATGAACTTTGATAAGAGTCAATAGCTACAGAAGGGCTTCAGGCCTTTTGTTCATAGGGTCGCTGAGTCAAGCTCGACTCGAAGGCAATCAACAACAACAAATATCTTTAGGTCACATGTAATAAAATTTAAAAAAAAATCACTTACCGATGTCACCTGTAACTTTGTAGGTTCCATTTGCAAAAATCCAGAAGAAAATTCCTCTAGCACTTCTAATCAAAACCCCACCTTTGGTTACTCTTCCTGCAATGAATACTCCGCCCCTGCCAGGGGTCTCTATATAAACATCACACTTTATAGTCAGATTGCTCCTGCAGAAGGAAACTGGAAGTTAGTCATCTTAAACCACACCATTTCTAACCTATCACAGATGTACTATTGCAAAGCCACATGAAGCATCTTCTAAGTCGGCTTGTAAGGAGAACGAACATCAGGAATCTTCCTGATAATGCTTTGGTTACTAGAGCCTTGCATGACTGAAATCAAGTCATTTCCTTGTCTTTTAAAGGGTTTCTCGAAATTAATATTTACTGCTTTCAGTTTCTTAAGGGTATGTTTCTTGTTCTTTTATAATAAAACCATTTTCTACCCTAGGAATATAATAACACATAATACAATAGATAATATATAATTAACATAATATAACATTACGTAATAAATAAAATATAATAGGGCATAGTGGTGGCCCAGGGGCAAGATGTTGCGCTGCAATCCTGAAGGCACATGGTTTGAATCCACCAGCTGCTCTGCATGAGAAGGATGAGCGATCTCCTCCCGTGTGATTAACTGCCCCTGAAAATCCACTGGAGCGCCAGCTATGGGTGGGTTCCGACTCCATGGTACACAACAACAACAATACAAACCACGTTTACTGTTGACACATAACATATTCATGCAATTCTGAATAAAATGCTAATTACATCTCCAACAGCATGCAGATGGAGTGGGGAACGAGCTAGGAGTCTTTAAGCAACAACTGCTTTGGGCCAATTTTTATATTTAAACCTAATATGATTTACATTCTAAGAGAAAGACCGAATGTGTTGCTCTGCAAAGAAAGAGTTGACTTGACAATGACTATCCAGTTGTGCAGCTCAGGCTTGACCAGTATACAAGTTGCCTGGAGGGCTTCTTACACTCAGACCAAGGGGTCTGCTCCTAGAGTTTCTGATTCAAGTGCTTTAGAGAGACCAACACCTCCCCACAGACAGCCACATTCCAATCCCTAGACCCTTCAAATATTACTTTCTATGTGATTAAAAGCAGGATCTCTGAGATGAGGCTATGATCCTGGATTATCTGAGTGGGCCTAAAATGTAACCACCTATCTACTAGAATGGAAAGCAGGGGGAGGGGACTAGATTTAGACGGAAGAGGAGAAGATAATGTGATTACAGAGGCGGAGATGAGAATGATGCAGCCACAAGCCAAGGAAAGCTAGCATCCCACAGAAAGGAGAAGAGACCACGGAAGAGATTCTCTCCCAGAGCTCTGGGGAGCTGTCAACACCTTGATTTTGACACAATAGAACAGATGAGACTAGTCTCCAGAACTGTAAGAAACTAAACGTGTGCTGTGTTAAACCAGCAAGTTTGCAGTCACCTATTACTGAAGTCACAGAAGCTCTAAGGCAATGGTTGTGGCATGGACTTCTGGATTTGCATATGTCACATAGTCCCAGGCAGTGCTAAGGCTGCTGGTCCAGGGACTCCACTTTGAGAATTACTGGACTTCAGTAAATCTCCAGATATACAGTAAAAGTCTGATTCTAGGGTCACCATCTTCAAGGGTACATCAAAGGAGGCAAAAGATTTGAATGACAGAACTACCCGAGATCTTACAACAGCACATAATAACAGCAGCAAAGAAAGGAACCCTGGTCGACAGAGCATGTGCTGAGCTGTTAACTAAAAACCACCAGCTATGCCTTAGGGGAGAGATGAGAGCAATCTACTACCAGGAAGATTTATAGCTCTGCAAATTTGACAGAGGAGAGAGATGAATCAGATTAAGACTCCATGGCATAAAGGAAACCAACTAATTCTCTCTCCTCTACTTTTAGGAAGGTGGACATTAGAACTGGGCTGTGAGATGCTGTCCAAACAGTGTGGTCTATAGAGCCAGGCATCCCTGACTTCTAGCTCTGTTGTTCTACAAGGAAGCTTGTGTATTTTGAGCAAAATACTTGCCCTGAGCTTCAGTTTCATCTGTAAAGTGATACGAATGATTCCTGAATAGTGGAATAATACAGTCAAAGGGAGCTTTAAGGAAGATTACAGCCTCCATTCCCAATGGCTATCTGCAGATTCCTTTGCCTTCAGAATATGTCTGTCTCCTCTGACTCATCCCCATATCGCTCCTATCTACCCCCTTGCCTCCTGCAATAGATCCTGGTGAAGAAGGAATACTGTCACATACTGAAATACCTAAAAATATTGTGAAGTGTATTGGTTAATATTTGGATAGTACTGTGTCTCAGCTCCAATTAAGAAGCCTCTCATTCTTGTTGGAGTCTCAACCAAAACTAAGAGAGTCTGAATTTACATATTATTCACTATAGTATTATACAGAGGTATGCGGGGCACACTGACAGTTAAAGGGGGTTCTAGAGTGGCTGACTTCCAAACTGGTAATCAAATTATGGGGCTAATTCCTTGAATACTTAAACTCATCCACTCGTCTTATAATTACATCCTTGGTCACAAATGAGGAAATCCCAAACCCCGCTGCCAAATTGGAAAATTCTGGCAAGTATTTCCTTCTGAGAAGATGGGACAAGCAGCGCTTCTGCAGCGAGCGTGAGAAAGACAACCGACCCGAGAGATCCTAAATTAGTCAAGAATTCGTCACTTCTCAGCAATAACCCTCCACAAGGGTTCCAAGGACTCGAGATAACGAAGATTCTCAAGATTTCTAGCAGAACATGGCACTGGAGTTAGGGTTCGCCACAATAAAGAGGAAGACAATGAAGAGGAAGGAACTATCCTGTAGATCTCTACACACAAGCAAGTCAAGGCTCTTTTCAGACTTCTCTCCCCTCCCTTGTCCAACTGCAAAGCTACAGACATGGCTGCGTGAAGGCTTGTGGTTACTGTGGTTGTTATGTGCCACTGGGCTGGAAGCAAGTCAAAGCTGACCCTCCAGCTGGTTCTCAGAGGCTGTAAACCGCGCGGAACCTCACATCTTTGGACTGACACTGCAACTCCTTACTTCCAGGTCACCAGAAGGCTCATCATTACTAATTACAATGAGTAAATATGGAATAACTACGGGAATTTTTACACTGTAAGTATACAATTTAAATAGAAAACTAGGAAAGGAATACCTAAAATAGGTATAATAAGTTAGCACAATGGAGAAAAAACGTCAAAGGGAAGATGAAGTTTTGTTTTGGTTATTGTACATCTATCTATCTCTTTACCAGAAGCCTGGAACAAAAGGAAAGGAGTACAATTCACTAGCACACTATATGTGGACTTGTTTGTACCATTGCCATCTACAGTTGCCCCCAAACCGGATTTTCTACAGATTAAGAGTGTAATTCTATTACAGATCCAGCAGGTGGCAACATCAGTTCAAGAAAGGAAGTAACCAGCAATATGAAAGTGCAAATTACAAAATCAATCTAAAAATTAAGTTTTAATTGAGTTCAAAGTGCTTAATTTTACTATTCAAACACAACTCTTTCTGCAAAAATTACTACTAAACTGGGACTATCTAAGGAAAAGACACTGAGCCAGAAAAAAAAAAAAAACAAAACACAAAAGTTACCATGACACCAAAGAATGATAAAACACAAAGGGCCTTCATGATTGGAAAGGTTGGGGGTCAGTGAAGGACAGGAAGACAGTCAGTGAGACTGACAGACATGGTTACTCTAACGGTGACCTCGAGTATGCCTGAGATGGTCAGGCTCGCCACAGGATAGCAGGGTCCACTGTGCATAGGATTACTATGAGTTATAGTCGACTTGATGGCACTTAGTAATAATTAAGTTGTAGGAGGAGGACTACTTGTTTCACTTGAGATTGTACAGATGACCCCTTACCAGGTTACCTCGGCCAGCCCTCCACGTGGACTTGGGCTTCACCTACCATTCATAGTCGCCTATGATGCTGATGGTGTTGGATGCATCAGCCGCCCACGTGATGGGCCGTTGATTGAGGACTTGGCGGAGTGTGAACTGATGCTCTCCAGGGTCGTCCTTGTTCACGAAGTACTCAAACACACCTGTCTGATCAGCAAAGTAGGGCGCTTCACTAAAAGGTGGGTCATCTGCTCAGAAGACAACAAATTTTCCACTTAAGATGAGGCCTTTTAAGAATCTCTCCTTTTGGATAATTCATTATTTTTTTCCCCCCTAAACACTTAAAGAGTTTTTATTTAAAAAAAAACAATTACAGTTAAAATGTAGGGCTTTAGATGTTAGTGATTTTATCATTACTTTTTTATACTTTATTTTTCTACAAGTTTATTTACAAAATTCAAACACAAATGTGAACAAATTCTTTCCATTTCCCTCACCCATCAAATTGTACAACCCAATGATGAATCCCCCTTCCCCCTGCACATCCACATCCCTCTGCTTCCAGCCTCTCTCACCCCTCCTGGATCCTTCTACTCATTCTACAATAACCGTTTTATACAATATTTATCCTTATGTGACTGAGTTAGTTCACTCAGCATAATGCTCTCCAGTCCCTCCCAAGTTAGATAATAATTTGCAAATTTATTGCTCCCGCATGCTGCATAGTATTCCAGTGTGAATGTACCATCATTTCTCTACTTCACCTAATTTTATATTATCATTATAAAATAATAATATGCTGAAGTCTGGTATATGGACTGCAGAATATCTGATTCGCATATATAAAGGGGAAAAAAGGCAATGAGGTCGGAGCAATGCACACTATGTTCAGCCCTGGATCAGTCTAGTGACAGTCTCTAGTTCAGACTATCACAGTCTGGCACCTGACTTATTACCCTGAGTCTCGAACTTTCTCATTTCTAACTGGCTTGAACACTTAACTTTTATTGTTGATTCTATGTTACATTTAAGATCTGAAGGTTTAGAGTTGCCCTTCACTCTTCAGGGTCAAAGAATTTGGGTTGACAAAAGTTCTTCAACCTCAATAACGAGTCCATATGTTTAAAAAACTACACAACTAACACAAAACAATCCAATTAAACTCATTTCCATCAAATTGAAACTGACTCAAGACTTATCCTCCTTAAGACACCGGAAATCACATGGGAAGAGAATGCTCATCTCTCCCATAGAGATGCTGGTAGGTTCATTCTGTCAGAGGTACTGTATCTGACTCAGCAACTCTCTATGGACAATGACACCAGAGCTTAACAAAAACAAACAACCCTTATCTGTCAACAGAGGACTGAGCAACAGATGTGCTAAGACACCACATGGCTGAAAATTAAGGAAACTCATCAAATAGAGTTCTTCAAGTTTTTGGAAGCAAACTAGCAAGCTCCCCCAAAGGGCACTGCTGTTTACCGAAGGGGCCTAAGAAGTAACCCCAAAGGCCTTGCTGAGACCCTGCAGAGTGGTGGACGTCTCCACGTTCACAGTGTAAGTGGCTCTGCGGCAACAGGAGGGCTGGGGTCACAGTGAGGCCAGTCACAGTCCTGAGAACTACAGCTCATAGGATCACATAGCAGCGCTACCGGACTGTGCCTGGGAGGCCCATAATCCCTTTCAGCACCTCCTGCTGAAGCACAGATTTTACAGCTTGCTGAAGACAGGACTTGTCTTCTAACTTTTCAAATGGTGTTGCTGTTACATCAGGTCGGAACAACTCATCCATCGCTAACCCTCCAGCAAGTTTTCAGAGGTAGTAAATCACACGGCAGGAGATTGCCCACTTTTCTCCCACAGAGCACAGCTCCTTACCAGGAGGCCCCCTGAGCTCTCTAAACTTTTCAAAGGATCTCCTAAATTACCTACTATGAAAAGCTTCTCAAGCAGTTTTAGTTTACAGATGCACAGAGTACCAGAAAACTACAAATATAAAACTCCAAGGTACAATTAGGGGATAGATAATGAATTAGATTTCCAAGCACAGATAACTCACCTTAAGTACTCAGTTAACTACTGGCAGGAAAAAACAAACAAACAAAGATGCCCTGCCTCCACTTCCACACCAAACTAACACTGAGTGTCACGAGTCTCAAACCATAAGTTTTACCAAAACGATAGAATGATAGCTCTGATACTAAATAGAACCCCTACTTTTTTATGGTTCAAAAAAATGCAGGATCTTCTAATTGGGTTTTACCTAAAGCAATAAGAATATTAGGTTTCAGTTTAGCAGAGAGCCAGCACGCACACAGCCTGGGAGGCAGAGCTGGACCAATCTAGAAATGAGGACTCTGGTGGCCTGGTCTGTGGCAAGCATACTGTGCGCCCAAAGGCTGAGTGTCCCTGGTGGGCACTCTCTTTCCAGTCCAATATTACAGCCTCAGGAAACTGATGGAGGGGTCACTGAGAGTCAGAACTGACTCACAGTCAGGGAGAATGAGTTCAGGTGAGATGGGAACTGGGTTCATTAGGTCTTAGTGAAGACACACTCACATATATTGAAGTCATCCTTGTAGACGCGGGGGAAGGGCTGGGAGTTTGGCGGAGGCGAGTAGCTGCCCTTCTGGCCCGTGGTGAGAGTGGTGAGTGTGAAGAGCTCATCCACCTCCAGCCCCAGTGTGAACCGGCCATTGGTGTGAAGTGTCTGAAAGAGAACACAAGTCCTGGGCTCACCTCACTTGGGCAAAGCAGTGCTCAGAAAAACAGGCTTAAAGAGACACAAACATATCTACTGAACTACCTGCGGAAAACACAAGTATGTCAAAAGGCTGAGAATCTTTTTTCCTCATTTTTGAAGACTTTTGAGATGTACACTTTAAAGAAGGTTTGAAAAGAACTTCCCCCTTTTTAAAAAAGGAAGATAAGCTCAAAATCTATTTATTACTGTATTCTTGTCCATTAAACTAAAACTCTTATCTTTTTGCTCATTCATTACCTAAAACTCAGAGATCTCCTTACTTATTTTTAAAACTTGACTGAAGAAAAAAAAAATCCATATAATCTCATTGTTGACCCTGCTGTTAATACCACACAATTATTTCATTTTAAAAAGGGGAAATCTTGCTCATTATATGTTCAATGTATATATTTTTCAATAATCAAGTTAGGTTTATAGTTATGAACTTGACAGCCTGGTTAATCTCTTTAAATAAATCCTCCTTGTCTACAAAAGGCATAAATAAACTCCAAAAGATTGTCGTGAAGATTAAACAAAATCATGTCTAGCAAATGAAATACTCTCTATTACAACTATGACATTATTTTGAAGACCTCAGAATCCCTTGCTAAATAAATGAAGGCATTAAATATATACTCATAAAACTCTGAGCCACTTTACTTTTCTATTTTGAGTTTATATCATATCATTGTTTTAATAATAAACTATTTGGCCCATTCTTGAAGCATCTGATGCCACACTGATTCAAAAATAACTCCCCTCCCCCAGAACTATTTTTCCTATGTAGTTAATTATGCTATTTGCCACAATTTGTTGTATAAAAAAAATAAATACATGGAGACTGTTGTTTTTTAGAACTTTCTATGTAATTGGCATTGAATCACTGAGTTATTAGCTGACCCAGAATCTTAACTTCCAGAAGTAGTAGACTTGTATCAGTGAGATGAAACAATGCACTCGTGGGCCCAATTCATTCTCTGAAAGATTTTCTGAGAAACCATGAGGGCCAAGCACCAGGGGAGGCACCTGCAATAAAACTAATTGACTAAAGCTGTGCCCCAGTCCACACAGTGTCTGGTTGAGCAGGAATAGTGTTCAAGTACATAAACACATAGAGCGTGGGAGGCTTGGGAGGAGGCAAGGGCGCATCAGATAGCTCAAGAGGAAGTTACAAGCGGGCTGAGTCTTAAAGGCAGGTGGAAAACAGAGGCAAGTCAATCATGTTTCCATGCTCTGAAAAATATGGCAAGAAGTTTAGTATGTCAAGAGAGGCCAGCTTAGTAGACCTACAACAAGAGGAAAGCATTCTTATGCTTCTGGAGGAGACGGTGAAGGTCACGTGCAATGCGTGTAAATGAGAACTCACTGATGCACTATGAACAAGGGAGTGATAACAGGTCAGATCATTCTAGCAGTAGTGTGGTAAGCAGACGGGGGAGTCAGACAGGAGGCTGGAAAAAATGTTGGGAGGTAATTCCAGAAATTCAGGAAAGGGACGATGAGGAACTGAAATAGCAGTAGCAGTGGGAATCAATAAGAATATATGTGGATGATAGGAATATCTGTACTGGATCTTGGATGAGGCAGAGAGGTTGAGTGAGAAATATAGAGTCTAAAATTAGATTCAAATTTCTCATGGGCATTTTACCTGTTAGTGCCTGTTAGTGGCACCAATGACCAACACACACTAAGTATCTAAGAGCAAGACCCA